AGTGGGAAAAAAGAAATAATAATAACAGATGAATTTATATTTATAATTGCGTATATATACACATATAGACTTATACCCATAGTTGGTGTATTTCTATGTTTTCTGTGTAAATTGGGCTAATAATTAATATCTGTTTCTTTGCTAGTGTGGTTTGCTGAGGCCGTTGTGTGCTTTGCCCTGCAGTATTTTGTTGATCTTCTTTGTGCTGAGTAAGGAAAAAGAGTAACAGATACATCTATGATCATGATTGTGTATACCCTGCCAAGCGAATCCAGAGAAACGTATTTGTGTGTTTTCTTTTTCTTCTCATTGTGCTCTTGGTTTCTTTTCTTTCCCTTTTATTTATTGGGAGTTTCTGCTTAAGAATGGGGTTCTGTTTGTTATTTTCTTTTAATTAGATTTTGTCTAGGTGATTTTTCTGGACTTGTCATTGATTACCTTTTCTTTAATTCTTATTTGTTTTTATTTTGACTTTCTCTCTTTGTCTTCTTATTTCTGTAGAAGAGTGAACTCAGAGAGTATTGTTAATTTTTATAACAATGATGGTGCACCGTGTTTTGTGTTTTCTCGCTTTGCTTGTGAGTGTCGACTGTCTCTGTCTGGTAGCGGCAGACACTCAAGCTGAACTTGAGGCTGTTTCCCCTTGCCGAGAAGGTGATAGTAGTTGTCCTTCTGGTGCTGCTGGTCCTCCTCGAACTTCTGGTAGTGATCTTGCAAGGGAAGCTGCTGGTAATGATGCTTGTCCTGAAGGCAAGAAAGATCCTCCGTGTACTACTACCGGTGGTGAAGCTGAAGGTCCCCAAGCTAATTGTGAGAAATCTCCTGGGACAGGCAAATGCACTAACAGGGATCAAGAGATTCAAAACAACTGCTCTTCTGATTCTAAACCTTCTTGCAATGCCCCAAAGGAACCAGCTCCAACTTTACCAAAGGAACCGGTTCCCACTAAATCGGAAGAGCAGAATTCAGAAGAGACCATTCCTGCTGCTGTGGAATCTGCTGGTGTATCCGGTGAATTAGGTGCTGCTAGCAGTGGGCTAAGTTCTGGTACTCATACTGATACTGGTGGTGGCACTGGCTCTTCTTCTGCTCGTCCAACTGTATCTTCTTCACCTGATGTTACTGCTCCCTCTGCCTCTGAGGAGAGGAGGGATACGTCCGCAACTGACCCTCAAACTGAAGAACGAGGAGAAAGTACAACAGAAGAGAGTAGAGCTAACCAGGGAGGTGATGCAGCACAACCCACTTCTTCTTTACCCAACAATTCAGCCACAGGGAGTGTAGGTGAAACTGCTGCTGGGAATGATGCTACAACGGTTGAGAATGGCAGTAACCCTGAAGAAAGTGAATCAACAAGTACCCAAGAAGTTGCTGCAGATAATACAGATACCCCTACCACCACCACCACCACCACAACAACAACAACACTTCCTCCTGGACTCACAAACAACAAGAAGGGTGATGCAGACAGCAGCAGCAGTATCAGCAGTTCTGTGTGGGTGCGAGTACCACTACTGATTGTGGTTACATTGGCCTGTATTCTTGTGTGCTGATTGTAATAGTGGTGGTGGTGTGACTCAGGTCATCCTTTGTTTTCTTTTTCTTTTTTGCATACATCCCCACAGTCTAACTAATCTTCCACCTGTTGGGATTTTTTTTTGTGTTTCTTAATGTTATTGTGTTTTGTGTGTTTTTGCTCTCTCTGTGTTTATCCTATAATAATTATTATTGCTACTCCATTGTGTGTGTGTGTGTTCTTGGAGACTCTTTCTGTGTGTGCCTGGGCTTGTATTGTAATGATAATGATGATGAATTGCTTTTTGCAGAGAGTAAAAAAGAAATAATAATAACAGATGAATTTATATTTATAATTGCTTGTATATACACATATAGACTTACACCCATAATTGGTGTATATTTCTGTGTTTACTGGTAAATTGGGCTAGTAGTTAATATGTGTTTCTTTGCTTGATGATTTTGCTGGGTCGTTGATCCCTTTTTT